CAACTGCATGGCAGCCTGCCGTGTCACATGAAGCGATGCGCGACGTGCACCATATCGGTGTTTCCGCCTTGGACATCGACGCAATCAACTCTTTCGAAGCATCTGCCGAGGCGGATAGATTCTCTGTGACAAAACTGATCTTCCGCGAGGACAAACGGTTCATTGAAGCTGCTAGACTGCTGAATCAATCCAAAGCTCCTGTAGCAGAATGTGTCCCGGAGCCCGATTGGAACGATTCGGATTTACTGGAGGCACAGAAAGAAGTGGTTCAACTTGTTACGCTTCGAACGTTGTCCATCCCTACAGGGCGAGCTATGCTAGCATTCAGTGGGCGGCTGCCTTTGTTAACTGAGAAGCTCCCAATTCCTTCATTCTCGCTTCAGTGTGTCATGAAACCATCGAATGTAACGATAAGTGCGGATCGGACCTCTTTTAGTGAAGAGAAGGTTTGCTGGGCTTTCTTCCATAATGGTGTTTCTACGGGTCTCGCAATATCCAAGAATTCCAAGGGCATCGATACCTCGTGGATTCTTTACAACAAGCCGCAGGAACTTACAAATCGGCACGCTGGCTTCTTGTTGGCCCTGGGTCTCAATGGGCACCTAAAATCTTTAGCGAAGTGGGTAGCTTTTAAGTACTTGACACCCAAGCATACAATGACCTCTATAGGTCTATTACTGGGTCTATCAGCATCGTACCTGGGCACGATGGACACGTTAATCACCCGTCTCTTGTCTGTTCATGTGACGAGAATGCTTCCTCTTGGTGCCGCCGAGCTGAACCTATCGCCGCTAACCCAAACTGCGGGTCTCATGGGGATTGGCTTACTGTATTGTGGCTCCCAACACCGAAGAATGAGCGAAGTGATGTTATCCGAGATTGAGAACGTGGATCAGGAGGAAAGCTCCGCGGGGCGAGAGGATTTGCGTGACGAAGGGTACCGCTTAGCTGCCGGATTCGCGCTCGGGTTCATAAACCTAGCAAAGGGAAAAGATTTACGAGGAATGCGGGACATGCATATTGTAGAAAGGCTATTAGCTGTGGCGGTTGGGACGAAGAACGTTGACTTGGCGCATGTTCTTGACCGGGCCACTGCCGGTGCAACGATCGCCCTGGCGATTATATTCATGAAGACGAATGATGAAACTCTGGCCCAGAAGATCAATATCCCTGACACAACAGTACGCTACGACTATGTCCGACCAGATTTGTTCCTGCTCCGTACACTTGCCAGGCATGTCATTATGTGGGACAATATCCAGCCTAGTGACGAATGGTTTGTTCAAAGCCTTCCAGGGATCTACCGCCGCCGATATCGTCTGACGGGCGTTCGTCGACTGAAAAGCGAAGATATGCCTTTTTTCAACATCATTGCCGGTCTTTGCTTTACGCTTGGGCTCCGCTATGCTGGCTCTGCCCAGACGACGGTGCGTGATATTCTACTCTCATATCTTGACCAGTTTATCCGCATCTGCAGACTTCCCGCTGTTAACTACGACGGGAAACTTTCAAGGAATTCCGTCCGCCACTGCCAGGACGTTGTGGCCCTCTCGGCGGCAACGGTAATGGCAGGAACGGGGGACCTGACGTTGTTTCGGCGCTTACGCTCCCTGCATGGGCGTGTGGATACTGATACACCATATGGTAGTCATATGGCAGCACATATGGCGATCGGGTTGCTTTTCTTGGGAGGAGGCAGTTATACACTCGGCACATCAGACCTGGCCATAGCATCGCTCATCTGTTCTCTATACCCGGTCTTTCCGACGTCAGTACTTGACAACAAATGTCACTTGCAAGCATTTCGGCATTTATGGGTCCTCGCGGCCGAGCCGCGCTGCTTCGTGCCGCGTGACATAGATTCTGGCAAACCCATATCCATGCCGATTATAGTGACAAACATTGGCGGCAGTACCCGGAAGATTACCGCGCCATGTCTCCTCCCCGAACTGGGGTCTGTCGCTAAGGTGGAAGTACGCAGTACCGATTACTGGCCCCTGGTTCTAGACTTTACACTTAACTCTGCTCTCCGAGAGAAATTCCGACACGGTGACCAGTCAGTGTATCTACGACGTAAAGCGACGTATAACCCAACCGGCTCGTCTGCCTTTGTTTCGACATTATCAGGGCTCAGTGAGGCACAGGACTTCCTTCCCTCGTCTACATCCGCGTCAAACCATGGCAAGGGGCTACCGCCGGCGGCGTGGCCGAACATCGCTACACTTCTCTCCGGCACTACCCCTCCCACTCCTCCGTCGTCGCAGTCGCAGAGTATATGGGAATGGGTATTTAAGCTCAAGTCGCTGCATGGACTAGATGTACGAGAAAAGGCACTTGTCTTACCATCATCATTCCCAGCACACACACACACCCCAAGCACCAATGTCATTTCATATGCGCCATGGTTACGGCAGTCGGCGGTTGACAGCAAGCTTGTGGTTGAGAACATTGTGCATAGTCTTGCACAAATTCATCCTGACGAGATTCGCGACCGCTTATGGCAACTGCGGCTTCTGTTCAATTGGGTCGACTCTTGTTCCGACAAACGGGTGCAGGAAATCGAAGAAGAAGTTGAAACATCAGATGATGCAGCCCCAAGGATATCTGGCCAATCGCAGGGACTTTGGCTACGGCAGGATTTCGTGGAAGAGGCGCGCTGGAAGGTCTGGGGCGTTCAGACTGGTGATTATGCTTAATGTAGTATGCTCTGTAATGCTTGGTTATGTTGTTATGCATGATATGATTCGGGGCCTGAATAGTTGTAGGAGTCGTCTCTCTCCTTGTCCATTCTGTTTACCCCCATTTACGTTATTGCTTCTCGTCAGGGTCGATATTTCTTTATACCGTCTCGTCAGGGGTACTATAGATTACAATATCCGAAGCCATAAGACTACCGAGCGTCATGTCCGGGTTAATCCAATTATTTTTGTTTATTATGTCTTCATATCTCGAGCTATTGTGTACCGGTGAAGTTGCATATGTGGCCATTCCCCCTCCTCTTTTGTCCTATATATAAAGAAAAGAAACGAAAAAGAGTTATTTCCTTTCAGTTTCCCCCTTTCCCGCGAAAGATATCAATGAGGTTATTGAGACCTAACGGCCCCTTCCTTTAAAACCCCTCGATCTCCAGCACCGCCCATCTGCCAAAGCCATACGCCCTCGACAGCCCATGCAGTAGCACTGGCATGATGACCAACGCCTCCCTTAGACCTCGCCAGATCCTGTCCCTGTTTCTCTGTTGCGTAATCCTTGTGTGAGCGAGTTGCTCCAGTTGACGTATCATCGGCTTCAGCTAGCATGCCAGCGACCACACCCTCGCGTTCAATGACAGACCACAATCCCTCTACCAATGTACTCCCGCGTTCTCCAAACTGACCTTTCCCGAGACGGAAGAGGATACGACCCAGAACCTGCCAGGCAATACACCTTTGAGCAGGAAAGGAGGAGCGGCTAAGGATGGCTAGCTCGGGTATGGTGTAACCAGCGGCGTGAGGGTCTTTACCATGATGGTGAAGACCTAAATTAGTCGGGAGAGCAAGTGATGTAATAGGTGAGAGAAGTGTTCCGAGGAAGGAAAAGCGGAGCGCGGCGGGGTGGACGGCTTCTGCATTGCTGGCAGGATGGTAGGCGGATGTCGCATCTGGTGCATCCGAGTCTGCGGAAGGCGGCTGAAGCCAGGACAAAGCGGACGGGTCGTGGGTGATGTTGGGAAAATAGTGGGCTTGAAGGTCAGATAAGAAAGACGGGGATGACGGGTCAAGGTTAGGCATAGGGTTCAACTGTGAGGGCGGAGTGGGGAAGTGAACGGAGCTGGGAAGAGGGGATTCAGAAACAGGTTGGAGATCATCAGGCATTTGCGCAGGGGGAAGGTCATCTCGATGAGTTTGTTCGTCTCGAGAGGTTGAAGGCTTGGGTTCGGAAACAGACTCGAGCGGAGGAGCTGCTGCTTCGGCGGGGTCTACCTGATGTTTAATGGATACAGATGGATTAGACCGAGTGTCAGGCTTGGACTCCTCGGAGTCAATATGGGCTCTGCGAAGGAACCGTTCAAGTAACGAGGGATCTATGGATGCCATGAGCTCCTCTCGTTCTTGTTGGATCTGATCATGCGACATGGACGCTAACTGCCGACGGTTTTCATCGTCGATCATCCTTTTTTCGTCATTCTGACCAGCAATTGCAGTGGTTGAATTGGAAGAGTCTTCTCGACGTTGTTTAAAAGCGGACTGCTTCACGCGACGACGATGAGCCGGAAATCCAGCTGCAGCAGGTTTGGGTGGAGCTGGAGCGGCAGCGGGTGAGCGTTCGCGGATTTCGCCGATCAGACCAGGAAGGGAGACGGAGGAAGCAGGGGGTTCATATGAGGACTGATCATCATCAGAATCTAGATCAACAACAAATCTTTCACCGCGAAATGCCATGGTCACGTTGATGAAGATGGAAGGCTTGATTGATTATCGGAGATAAAGAAAAAGCATCGAACTAAAATTAAAACGGGAACTGCATGAAGGATGAGTCAGCATGCGGCTCAAAAGCTAAATGATATGGAGCTAGACCTTTCCAGGGATAGCGTATCACCTGATAACCTTACCGGATTGGGGAACGCACGTCCGATCATCTGATTTGAATCTGGAGTATAAGTTCAAGAAGATCCATCAATATCTCAAATCTCTCTTGTCGGCTCGATCCGAGAGGGTCATATCCCTATATTATTGTTATGGGGATTGTATTCACTACAAACTTTACAATTGAGCCTCACGGGTATATATTCTTATTTAGATATAGAGAGAGAAAGCGAGCGAGGGAAATACCTATCAAGAACCTATCCTATCCCATGGAGTTTGGGTCGATTCTGCCACCCGTATCATAATTAATTAAAAAATAAAAATAAATAAATAATAAATAAATAAAAAAGACCAAGGTTAAATCAGAGGAACATCAGACCCCAAAAGTGCATCAACAGGTCAGAATGATTTTCGTTCTTTTCTCTTCCTCTTCCTCTTCCTCCTTTCCACCTTTCTCATCCCTTTATCTCATCTTTTGTTCCCATCCGGTGAAACCAAATCAGTTCAAGGTATTGATTGATCTATACTTCCTCCTGCTGTATATTGAAATTTCTCTTTAATTGTTCCTTTTCCCTCTTTCCCTATTTTTGGGTCTTTATCCCCCTCCCCTCCCTTTCCCTTCCCTTCCCTTCTTACCCTATCAAGGATCTCTTGACTTTTATCCGTTCGCCTCTCTCTGCCCGAGAAGAAGAACAAGAGTCTCTCTCCCCTTTTCCCTCCTCGTTTCTTTTCGTGTTCCTCCTCTCTCTCCCATTCTACCAAAACCCTCCATCGTATTTTCTTTGTGTTGCGCCATCACCATCTCTCGCCATCCATTTTCCTTATCACCTTCATTTTATTTCATATTTCTATATCACATTTCCCATCCGATTCGCATTTTCCGTGTCTTGAATTTTCTTTTTTTCTTTTTGTTCGTTTTTAATTTATCTATTTATATATTCATTTATTTTTATCTTTTTTCTTCATTTCTTTTACATTGACAAAAGAGGAACAAGAAAATTAATTTATTGACATCTAGATTCCCAACCCGGTTCAAGATTCTCCGACTACGCCGCTTGCTTCATCCTTGAGACTTCTCCTCTCGATGCTATCTCTCTAAATTTTCTCTACATCATGTCCACCGAGCCGGCCATACGGACGGCTCAGGACGATCTCGAGTCGCGCACCTCCATCGACCAAACTCCCCGCGAAACTCGTCCTAGACGGTCGCGTCGCAAGAAGGACGAGGGACAGGACGCTGGGCGAAAGGACACTCCTAAACCTAGCAAGTCAAAGACTAAAGAAAAGGAGAAAGAAAAAGAACCAGAGACGGGGAGGCAGAACGATAAGGAATTAGACAAAGAAAATCATAAGGATAAGGAGAGCAGGGATAAAGGGCAGGATCCGAAAGAGTCGAAACGCGGCAGTCGTCGCCAGAGGGACAAATCGTCATCCACGTCGGTCAATCCTTCCAATTCCTCTTCAACTCACGCTCGAAAGAAGCCTAAGTTGGAAGCAACGCCGCCGGATCAAAGTCCCAGTGTACCGGCGGCTTCTGCAGCTGCAGCAGCTTCCACTCCAGCCACGACTACTGTTACGACCGCTGTTCCTGCTCCTACTCCTAGCGTCGCCCCAGCTGCAACGGCAGCTCCATCTCCAGCTCCAGTCCAAGTTCCAAGCACCCCCGCTGCTAGCCCTCCGGCGTTGTCAGGCTCAATTCACCTTCTCCAATCTCACTTGCACCAGCAACATCGTTCTCCATTGCACCCGTCCCCCTCACTGCCGCCCTCATCTCATCCCACTCCACCCCCCGCGGCCCTTGGTCATCCATCATCTTACCCGACGATGGCTCCCGCAGGACCTCCGCGGCCGCAATCTCAGCCACCACCTCCCCCACCGACTAGAACCAGCGGTCAGAATTTCGACCCCATTCGGTCCGCCTTCGATACAGCTTCCCCGGCCCAAACACCGGGGCCGACATCGACCTTCAGTCCTCCGGCGCGCCCTCTCTCTCCACGCCCAACATTCCGCGCTAGCGCTTCACCTGCTATAGCCAGCATAATTGATCCTCCCACAACTACCTCCCCGTCCGTCTATACCTCCCGTCCATATGCTTCTCCAAACCATGGTGCATCCATCTACTCCCCTTCCCCTGCGGCTACACCAGTCATCGCTCCCACGCCGCATCCGCCTCCTCAGCCGATCTCGCCTTATGCCCATCGATCGCCCTATCCCCCCCCCTCACAATTACAGCCATCGCACGATTCGCAGTCATCGGCTCACTCTTCGTCCCAAGGCCCGCCGCAACCCTCACCACCACGTCTATCAGCAGCACCTGAGCCTCCGGCGCCTACACCGTCTAATAATCATCGCGCGCCTTCACCTGGGCCAACCCCAATGGACGTAGATACGGATCAGCATGCGGCCCCCAAAGCACCAAAAAAGGATAGCAAAGCTCCCCCCACAGCGCCTCCATCAAACGCTGCGTCACCAAAGCCCTCCCGTGCGACCAAGGAGCCACCGCCACCATTGCCTCAAGGCTCAGGACTGATCTCCAATGCCTTGTTTGGTGTGGGCGACGCCGCATCAACCAGCGATTCCGATTCTAGGCGGACGCCCAGTATTATAATACACATTCCCTTGCAAGGGACCGGCAACAGGATTGTCAACTTTGCGCGCTTGGCCGAAGAACAATATGGCTTTGCCGCTTTACATCCTCGCCTTGCGGCTCACAAGGAACGGCTCGCCCGTGTAGCCGCAGCGGGTGCTGCACTAGAACGAAATGATAAGTCCGGCCGGGGACTCTCAGCCGGGGAGAGTGCTGATGAAGATCTCAGTCTCGAAGTTGAGCGTGACAGTGACTTGGATGGAGACAGTGCGTTGGGCGGTGCAGCAGCTCGCACAAACGAGCCTGAGGCTCCAGATGGGAAAAAGAAGCGTCGCAAGAAGAAGATGGAAGAATATGACCGGGACGATCCGTTTGTCGACGATAGCGAGCTGGCCTGGCAGGAACAGGCCGCGGCCAGCAAGGACGGCTTCTTTGTATATAGTGGTCCTCTGGTGCCTGAGGGCGAAAAGGTGCAAGTAGAACGGTGAGTTACCTCTTATAGTATATACGTTCGACCACAACCGCTAACGCTTTGATTTAGGGCGGATGGTACAATAAAACGTGGCCGGGGGAGGGGTCGCGGCGGTCGCAGCCGAGGACCTCAGTCCGCTTCCCATCAAGCGCCACTGGCAGCTGCCGTCCCTATCTCCCAAGAAACCGGCCTCCCTGTACGAGGTCCCGGATCCCGGGGTGGTAGTACGACTCGTCGTCCCCGTACAAAGCCCAGGGCGGAGCAGGACAAATCAGGTGGCACATCCTCCACATCCCAGGGGCGAGGAGGCGGCACCGCTGGCCGGGGAGGCTCGGCAAGCACTCGAGGAGGGAAATCAACATCAATGGTGGAACTGGCACCACGCCCCAACTTGGCACCTACCCCCCCGGGACCCAGCCCGGTAGCAGGTTCTGAACTGGCGATGAAATAAAAAGTGGGCTTTAATCACTCTCCTTTCTCCACAAAGTACGATCCATTGTCTAGGTATCCGGCTGTGTGGTTTATTGCTTTCGTTGGCGTCACTGGACCTGAGTACAGAGGGATGATGAAAGGTTTATTGTAGAACGGTTGCTTCTGCTGCGAGGCTATTACTGTGCTTCTATTCGGTATTACATGCCTGTTATGTGTTTATCAGTGTGATTTCTAAGCTTTCTTTGTTCTCTTCCAAACTTGTTCATGATTGGATGGTGTTATCTCCATTTCTGCATCATCTGGGGTGGTGTCTTTTCCTTTTATAATATCTCGTTTACGTGTCTGCCGCTCAATATGAGGCGAAGCAAATATGTTTCTATTCCTGAAGGAAACCCGATGGAGGGGTCGGTTTGATTATGGCTACTATAGTAGGTATACATGTGGCATCAGGTCAAGGATTTTGCAAGATCTTGTCCAGCCTTGAGGCTCAACCCATTCCTTTGATTGGAGTATTTCATTGCAAAGAAGCGCAAGTATTTTTTTTTTTAGTAAAAGTCCCAACCCCAGGCTAAATGACCCCGGCGCCCATAGCGTGTTCTCGCCACAAAAGAGTGGACGGTTGCTGTACATACACATAGGTGGCACATGCAAGATCCATGAGCTTTGTTCCTTGCATCAACAAAATATTTGCTGAGTTGTCAAAGGATGAGACAAACAACACAGATGCAAGAGTGCCAGCTCGACATCCAGACAGAAATCAATGACAAAAGTAATTGTACGTCGACATTAACAAAGAAAAAAGGCATTGCTATCAAAACATATGCGACCAGCTCAGGAGGGAAAATAATGAACAGAATGTAAAAGGGAAAAGGTATAGACTCAGAAAATGCCAATGAACGAATATACGCCTTGCTGATGCGAAAATCATAAGCAATATGGTCAAGCAAGCGATCAGTTGGGAGTTCGTCGTCTAAATAGTTCAACAGTGAAACGTCAATGGAATTATTGACAACGAGACAAAGAGAAAGAAAAGGGTTGGGTTATTTTCAATGACAGTTGATTGAGAAAGGCCGATTTCCCGATTGAAGATGCGAGCCGATCGGATGGTCTTACTTGCAAAGAAGTCTATGATAAGATCTAACTCGTCTGAGAAAGCAACTGCGCACAGCTTCTGTTATGTGATAGTGATGCACTTAATTTACTTAGCGTTGCCATGGTGCTCCCGGTACCGGAGCCGGCGGTAAGGGCCCACTAGGAGGAGGAGCTGCACGAACAGGCATAGCTGATGTCTGAAGTGGCATTCTCGATTTCATGTTGTGCGAGCTCGCTGAGCGAGATGCGATGTGCGGACGAGAGGGTGGCTCCAAGGCCGACACCGGGTCTCCTAAGTGCGCACGAGAGGGGCGGCGTCCCGATCGATAATCATCATCCTTGGTTTCCAAAGAAAGATGCTCGAGCGAAATCGCGGGCGGAGATCTAGTCGACCGACTGGGGCGAGGAGAAGGGTTCGGCGGTACATGATAATGCCGGCTATGGGAAGACATTTCATTGACCATATTCACCGGGATCTCTCCAGACGTTGGGGTGTAATGTGGTGAGCGAGACGATTTGCTAACTGCTGGCTTTGGAGCGGGGCTACGGCGCGGTAATTCTTCTTTCTCGTCCTTGAGAGACTTCGGCGGTGGAGGAGCTAGATAAGACTTTCGGTTATGTCGCTCCATCATGCTAATCGCCCATTCTTGAAGATCAACTGGTGTACGTTTAGCAGCCTGAAGGAACGCATCCTTGTCCTATTCTCGGAGTCAGCAAATTTGACTTCTATGGAAGCGCACAGCATAAAGTGGTTCTTACATATAATTCTCGGGGTGTTGGCCGTTCTTCCGATTTTTTAAGGAGGCATTTGGCCACAAACTCGTGTAGGATCGGTGGGAAAGCATCGCTCTTTGGAAGCTTCGGAGCGGGTTCATGGACAATCTGTTGCAAAAGGTCCAAGATACCCATAGGGCCGGCGCTAGCCCGGTCTCCTGCTGAAGAATCTGAGGTATCGAAGGGAAATCGACCCACAGCCAATTCCATGACCGTCAAGCCTACACTCCAAACATCCGAACGGACAGTATACGCGCCGCCTTGAATGCGCTCTGGTGCCATGTAGGTCGAAGTGCCAACAAAGGTGTCAGCGATCGAATTGACTGTCTCAGTAGCGACACCGAAATCGCAAAGTTTAATATTTCCCCGCGAATTAACAAGGATGTTGGAAGGTTTGATATCACGGTGCATAATGCGATGCGCTTCATAGAGATATACAAGGCCAGCCAGTATCGACTCTGTGATCTTGCCTAGGACATCCACTCGCACAGGACCGAAGTCTTTGGATATACGATCAAGAGAGCTAACGAGGAAAGCAGTTAGATACTTGACTTTCACATAGATATCTGCGAAAACTCTTCTGCACTCACCCACAGTCCATGTATTCCATACACAGAACAATATCCCTGGCTTCATTTTGAAATGCTCCATAGAAGGTCACGATATTCGGAGAGTTGCAGTCGTGGCCAACTTGAAGCTCTCGCAGTATCTGTTTTCGAACATTCTCTTTGGCATCTACACGGATAATCTATGATATGATCAGCGGGTCCCCGTAACACTTAACATAACGGTTCACACCTTTCGGGCCATGACAACTTTAGTAGAAGCATGCATGACCTTGGAGACTGTACCGCCATTGCCCGCCCCTAGTTCTTTTAAGGTAATCAAATCTTCACTGCGAAGATCAAGGCGGAACTCTAGCCCGATCTCCAGCGTATCGGTGCGGTTGCTGTCGGTATTTCCAATCGCACCGGGGACTTGGGCATCGCCATCGGACTGGTTGGAGAGGGGTTTGGGTGCTGCGTTCAAAGCGAGACCTTTGACATTTTTGCGTTTCAGCGTTCGAGCTTTAAATTGGTCGGCCATGGTTGGACGACAGAGTTACTCTGCCGCAATCACTGAAGGATGAATTGAGAGAAAGGGAATGAATGATTGTAAGAGCGCCTCTTGTCGATTGTCGAACTTAATCCTCGAATGTAGTTGAAAGGTCAGACTGCTCGTGAATGACAAGAAATTAATGAATATTCAGTGAAATTGTGAAACTGGAGAGAACCAAGAAAAAAAAAACCCCCCCCGTATATTGGCACTGAGGTGTGGACAAGCGTTGGTGTTTTTCAAGGCAGACAAGGTGGGGGATTCGACGTCGGTCTATACTAGGCTCGATTCGTTATCTCAACCCTGTGGATAATGTTGCGGGTAGAATAATGGTCTCCAATTATTTTTGGAGAATAGAAGAAGGGAATATTTCAAAAGAGAGGGAAAAAAAAAAAAAAAAAAAAAAAAAAAAAAAAAAAAAAAAAAAAAAAAAAAAAGGGTCCTGCATGAAACGCCCAACTGAGGCGCTGATTATAAGTTGGGAGTTTCTGTTCGGGTGAAGGAGGAAGAAGACGGTGTTAGAGAATGAGTCTGGATCCCCACCAGGAACAAGCGCGCGGGTCTCACTCCGGACAAAGAGGAAACCCTACGTACTTGTACTAAGTACGGAGTATGTGTATTAAAGGTAAGTATGTACTAATACGAGGAGGGACCCCTTACTAGAAGAAAATAAAGTTAAAAAGAAAAAAAGGAAAAGGAAGAGAGACGGAATTTGTAGGAATATACAGTCCAATTATAGGACTAGTAAGTTGCTTATTTCATTGATCAATGCCAAATAACTACTAGTACCTATATCTTTGATAATCCTCCGTTCCCTTTTATCTGATGCTGCGGGCCCCTTTATTTATAGCTATTCTACGCAACCCCATCGTGGACGCTGATGTTCAATCCACATTTGTTCGTACCCTAAGTATATATCCAGTTAGCCTACGTCTTAACATTAATCCCATATCCCATTCTGTCTCCCAATTTAATGTAAAACCTCAGGGTGCGGGGACACTATTCATCGGCTCAAGAAGCATTATAGGATTTCAACTCCAATTCCTTATCCTTAAGATCTAGAGTATATTAGATCACATGATCTCTTCACTATCATCAACACACGTGATATAACAGTCCAGCCACATATAGCTCCGTCGGGCGGTGAAGCTTTGCCTGCGCCACAGAGCCTCTTTGCTCGCCGACAACCTCCAAATTGATTCAGTCAGTCTTCAAGCATCATTAATACCCACAATTCGTTGAAATCCATTGGACCGGACTTTCTGTGGTGCCGTCTTTAGTGGCGGCTGTTCTGCTTGTTCTCGTCTTGGGATCCTCCTTCCATCTTCTTTCCGAAACACTCATCATCTTTCTTCCTGCACATCGAAGCGTGCCTTTCACGACAAATACAAGATGAGCGCCCGCGATCTTGTCGAGGGAGAGGCCATGCTGGATGATGAGGAGAATGAAGAGGAGTTGGCCGATGACTATGACGGTGAAGGCGAAACTCATCAAGGTGCTGGCACTGCGAATCACTACGACTCAAGTGAGGAGGACGAGGATGATGACGACGATGAGGAGGCCGCTCGTGCAGTAGGTTCCCAGCTTGAGGAGGCGCATTCACCCCGAGCCATAACTGAATAACTTCACGACAGGTCCGGGAAGGTTTTATTGTCGATGAAGATGAAGAACTTGAAGACCGCGCGGAGCGCCGGCGGGAGAAGAGGAAGCGACGCAGGGAAGAACGCGAGCGCGAAGATGAGCATCTAGATGAGGAAGACTTAGAACTCATCGGAGAACTCAACCCGTCACTTCAAGCCCCGGTTGCTGCAGAGGTATGTCGAAATTCCGGCCGTCCGTCTGCCGGTTAAACTACGCATGTGATAGAGTACATTAGGCTGATTCAAACTACGATCCTATTAGTCTAAATTCAAGCGCTTGAAAAGAGGACACAAAGATCGTGACCTTCGACAGCCCTCTCAAGGTATCGATGACATCTTTAACTCCGACGAAGAAGAGGAAACTGCAGGCGACTATGGAAGGCCTGGGCATAGGAGGCATATGCACGATGAGATGGACGACTTCATCGAGGAGGACGTTTTCTCGGATGAGGAGCTACAGAGAGAACGAGAGGACCTAGAGATTGCGCGTCCCGCAAAGAAGGGCATGACCGGTTTAGGAGCTACTGATGCTGCTGGGTTGGATGAAAACGCCTTAGAGGATATGCGCGCGGCCTTCGGGGATGGCAACGAATACTTGTTTGCTCTGGAGATGGAGGATCAGGAGGAAGAGCAGGAGGAAGACGACGAGAAGCACTTGGATCTCAAGGATGTCTTCGAGCCATCTCAGTTGGCGGAGAAGATGTTAACGGAAGAGGATAATCAGATCCGTCTGTTGGATGAACCAGAAAGACATCAGATTGCCCGGAAGCCGTATCGCAACGTTGTCCTCACCGAGGAGCAATTCCGAGAAGAGGCCGCCTGGATCTCTAATCTCATGCTCCTCAAGAAGCGCATTGAACCAGAGCTGCGCGAACCTTTTCAACGATCTGTGGCCAAGGTGCTGGAGTTTTTAGTGACAGATGATTGGGAAGTCCCGTTCATCTTCCAGCATCGGAAGGACTACATGATTCATGCTGTTAAAGCTCCTGCTGAGGGTGCGGGGGAAGATGGTGACGCATCTCAATATACGATACGAGCGGAGAAGCTATTAAACATGACGGACCTCTGGGACATATTCGACCATGATCTCAAGTTCAAGGCTCTGGTAGAGAAGCGAAATACGATACAGAAAACCTATGATAATTTGCAGAGTCTGTTCAACGTGAGTGACTCTGTTGTGGAGGAGATGCTCCCAGCAGCTGTCACCATGGAGGAGCTTCAAGATGTGCAGGATTACATTCACTTCCAGTATGCGTCTCAGCTGCGGGACATGACTCTTATGAACAGCGATGCCAACGGAGAAACGCACCGGCGGAAGGCGTCAAGCAAGACCTTTTTCGAGCGTGTCCGAAATGGTAAGGCATACGGCCTGGTGCGTGCATTCGGCATTACAGCAGATGCTTTTGCGCAGAATGCTCTGAAGGAAGGTCGTCGCCAGTACACGGAAGACCCAGCGGAGAGGCCGGAGGAGATGGCCGACGGGTTTGTGGATAATGATTTCTCCAATGCATCGCATGTTATTAAAGCTGCCAAGAGCTTGTTCGCTGAGGAAATCGTGATGAGCCCTAAAATGCGGAAGGTGATTCGCCAGGCGTACTACATGAATGGCGCTGTCGACTGCTTCCGAACGGAGAAGGGCCTCCGTAGAATCGACGAGCAGCACCCCTACTACGAGTTCAAATACCTTCGAAACCAGCAGCTCAGTGACATTGCCCGCCGACCGGAGCTGTATCTTCGGATGCTTAAGGCCGAGGAGGAGGGCTTGGTGGAAGTCAAGGTCCGCTTCGAGAACTTTGACCAATTCCGCCAACGTCTGTATCCCGACATTGAATCCGATAACTATAGCGAAATCGCGGACGGCTGGAACCGCAGTCGTCGGGATGTTTTGGACATGGCTCTTGGTAAGTTAGAGCGATTGATTAACCGCAGCGTAAAGGAGAACATCCGCCAGGAATGTGAGAATCATGTGGCAAAGGAATGCCGAGAAACTTTCTCTCAGCGATTGGATCAAGCCCCTTATAAGCCTAAGGGAATGGTGCTGGGAACTGTTCCTCGCGTTTTGGCTTTGTCCACTGGGAGTGGCGTTGTGGGACGGGAACCTATACATTGGGCGTACATTGAAGAGGACGGCCGTGTGTTAGAGAATGGAAAGTTTGTGGACTTGTCAATCGGAGATCGTGATCGTAACATCCCAGATGGCAAGGATGTTGAGGCCTTTGTGGAGCTCGTGGACCGCCGCCGACCGGATGTCATTGGCGTCAGCGGCATGTCCCCCGAAACTCGTCGTTTATACAAACTCCTGGCTGAGGTTGTCGACAAAAAGGACCTACGCGGCGCTCCGTACACCGATGAGCATGACGAAGAGATCAGTGATCGCTTGGAAGTGATCATTGTGAACGACGAGGTGGCGCGTCTCTATCAGCATAGCGAACGGGCAAAGAAAGACCACCCCAGCTTTGCACCTTTGACACATTACTGTGTTGCTCTAGCTAAGTACCTGCAGAGTCCCTTAAAGGAGTATGCTTCGCTAGGCCGGGACATCGTCTCTATTCAGTTCAAGCCGGGTCAGCAGCTGGTTACCCAAGAGCTACTTCTAAAACAATTAGAAACAGCATTGGTGGATATGGTTAACCTTGTTGGTGTGGATATCAACGAAGCGGTTACGGATTCCTCGACGGCCAACCTTCTCCCTTACGTCTGTGGTCTTGGTCCTCGTAAGGCAGCTCATTTGCTCAAGATCGTCAACATGAACGGCGGCGTGGTGAACAATCGTGTAGAGCTTCTGGGTGTGAATGCACAATATCCAGCAATGGGCGTCAAGGTCTGGAACAACTGTGCCAGCTTCCTGTACATCGATTTCGAGAACGTCGACCCGGATGCGGACCCATTGGACAACACACGAGTGCACCCCGAAGACTACGATATTGCTCGGAAAATGGCCGCCGATGCCTTGGAGCTGGATGAGGAAGACATCAAAGCGGAAACGGATGAAAACGGCACAGGCGCCATCGTGCGTAAGCTGTTCCGTGAAGAGGCACAGGACCGAGTCAATGATCTGATTCTGGAGGAGTATGCGGAACAGCTGGAAAAGAATCTAAATCAGCGAAAACGCGCCACACTCGAAACAATTCGGGCAGAACTGCAACAACCGTATGAGGAACTGCGAAAGCAATATGTCTTCCTCAGTACGGACGATATCTTTACCATGCTCACGGGTGAGACATCGGACACTTTGGCCGAAGGCATGGTGGTGCCGATCTCCATTAAGCGGGTCTCTGATGACCACATTGATGGCAAATTAGATTGTGGTATCGACGCCCTCGTTCCTGAGTCAGAGCTTACCGACCGATATGATATACCAGTGCGGGCGCTATACTCACCGCATCAGACTGTGTCGGCCAAGATACTGTTCTTGAATCGTAAAAACTTCACGTGCAACGTCTCTTTGCGGGAGGAGCAAGTCAGTCGCCCAGTGTCCAACGCCCAAGATCGCTTGCGCGGAGA